GGTACTGAGAGATTAGAGCGTATCGGAGGATGCCGGTGATGGTGATGGTACTGAGAGATTAGAGCGTATCAGAGGATGCTGGTGATGGTGATGGTGCTGAGAGATTAGAGCGTATCAGAGGATGCCGGTGATGGTGATGGTGCTGAGAGATTAGAGCGTATCAGAGGATGCCGGTGATGGTGATGGTACTAAGAGCATTACAGACTATGGAAAAACAGATTGATGGGCATAAAAAACAAAAGCAATGATAGCCAGGAAATGTGAAACTCCTGAGACACAGGAAAGCTGACTGTGGTGTGTGGCCTAGCTCCAGCAGCAGCACAGGCAGTCATAGATGGGTAAGCTCTGAAATACTGGTCTAAACTGAAGTGGTAAGAGACTGGAAGAAGAGAGAGAAAAGTCCCCACCATAATACGTAGTATCAGTGGGTGAAGCCGATGGCTAGGGAATGAGCAGCCAGCAGCCAGACAGAAATACACAACCCACCCCAGAGATTACCAAAGGGGCGGAAAGAACACAGCCTCATGACTGAGGTTTCCTCTTCATGCACAATTTTGGAATCTTTGTCTAAAGAGGCCCATAAGTTCCAATCACGCACTTACTTCTGCACTGTGGAAGCAGATTGCTGTGTCTTCATAAGAACTACCACCAATAGATAAATTCCTCCCACCCCACCCTTCCACAGCAGGCCTGCCCAGTCCTTTACGCTGAGATAAACAGGGCCACATTAGACCTTCTACCAGCCTGAACAAAACAGATCATCTCCAAATTGCAAATGGATTGTTTTCAGAAAATCTTAGGACAGTCACTGGCAAGAGGTCATGTTTCCTCCCTCTTCCTATCTAGAATTAATCCCAGCACTCGGGAGGCAGAGGCAGGTGGATCTCTGTGAGTTCAAAGCCAGCCTGGTCTACAAAGAGAGTTCCAGGACAGCCAAAGCTACACAAAGAAACTCCATCTTGAAAAACCAAAACCAAACCAAACCAACCAAACAAAAAAGGTTAAAGATTCAAAGGTCACAGATACAGTTAGAGCATAACTAAATTAAAGAAGAAGAAGAAGAAGAAGAAGAAGAAGAAGAAGAAGAAGAAGAAGAAGAAGAAGAAGAAGAAGAAGAAGAAGAAGAA